TGGATATTTTTTTCATACACTGGTGAATGTTAAGTTTCTGTTTAAGCAGTGATTTTGTCGTCTCTGAGATTTTACGCTGCAGTTTTTTATTACTTCACACCACGTCACCCACTCAAACTTCATTGAACATCTTGCACAACGATTCAATGGCTGTGTTCATCTGCTGGGATTTGGCCCTTTGTCTGTATTTTCTCTTTTTGTCTTACTTTGTGACTGTTTAAAAGTTTAAAACAGAGCCAGTAGAGGGCAGAAATGCATCTCTGTCTGTCCCCTTCTCATGGTTACTTGTGGTGTACCAAGCTTTTAGAATAATTTTACTGTTATGTAAGTATTTTATGTTCTGAAGATAATACAAGGATAATTCTTGGGAAATATTTGTTTTCTTTTAGTTTTCTTAAATAAAATGTGTCTAATGTTCCTTTATCACGACAATCATAGCAGGACAGTGATTATATGCTTGATGAGACTGTAGAAATATATGTACCGGTAGTTTAAATCATGTGGAAAAAATGTTAAGGACTAGATATGTGGAAAAAACATTACTTTGAACTAGTATGGAGAGATAAGTGCCTTCAAACAAGATCACTGCACTTTCATCAGGGAAGGAGAACAGACTTACACCATCAGTGTTTTAAAGACTTTATGCAGATTTTTATCTTAGAAGCTGCATCGCTTTTCTATGCTAATCATTCTTAAAAGATGCCAATCTGTCTTTGGGCAAAGTGCAGCGTACACCCAACCACTAAGACACTGCAAGTGAATGTAAAAAGGTAGCAAACACAGCAAAGTTAAAGCCAAGGAGAAGAGACAGTAAACAGAAACAAACCACAGCCTAAAGTGAGTTTTGTTTAGTAAAATCCAGAGACGCAGATATAACTGTATAAAACTGAAAATCAATACTGTAACAATCCTCTGACATTACAGGTCAACAGTTAAAAAACAGACCATAGGAATAACAAACAGCACAGACAGTGTTGCAGTTGTTATACTTCAGTACTTTTTTGCAGGATTTATAATAATTGTACAGAGTTTTTCATATATACATTTTCAATCATCTTTTGTTCATCCCTTTTTGTTTACTCTTATATTTACCACCTTAACTGACTCAAATCAGACTGACAACACATCTTTAACAAAAAGTAATTAATCATGTTAAATCCTTCACAGTGGATCCTACACAGGCAGCTTTAATACCATAGTCAGTAGAGAATACTTTAAAAAAATGTTAAAATACAAACAAAAGTTATTCCTCCTACGAGTGGATGCAACTCGATTTACAACTCAGATTTACCTATGCCGTTGCTGGCTAGTCTGAATGTAGCTGGAATCCCATTATGTAAAACAACAATTGGCAACTTTTCCCTGGGTGTGTGTGGGCGTGTGTGTGTGTGTGTGTGTGTGAGTACAACAAATGTAGAGAGCAGCTGAATAAATGAGGGACACGCTGGAGAAAATGTTTACAGTGAGGAGGGAGAGAAGAAGAACGTCAAAGAGCTGAGACGCTTCTTCACTCCTTACCTGTTTTACCGACTCAAATTGGTTGTCTCTCCGTTGCATAACACAGAGTTTCTTCCCTGTGAAAAACAGCGATTTAATGATTTATGATTCTCTTCTGCTTTTCTAAAAGACACTGCAAATGCAGGTAATAATACTAAGGTTCTGTGATGACCTAATTAAAACCTGTCGTACATGGACTAATTTTGTTGGATTTATCCCCTCGTGCAGCTTTTTTGCAGGATGTATGTATATCTGTGTTTATATATATATATATA